GGCTTCTTACTTTTCAAACACGATACAGAAGGTTCGCCGATAAGCGTCGAGTTGAAGTGAATTGTAGAGAAGATTTTCGGACAGGAAGCATCCCCTGGGCCGGAAGGAAACGAGTCGGACAGGTACAACACACTGACATTTCGTCTGGCAACCGGTGAGAAGCAACGTTACACTACCGGGATGAGAGAGTTCTAATTACAGGAAAATGCAAATACTTGGAACGGAACCACGAAGTGGTAAACCGGTAATTACGAGTACCAGTAGCAGTTTCTTCGCCATTGCATATGGAACTCGGCAACGCGTTATTGCTTCGCTAACCAACATTACCCCTGTTTCCTTCCTCGTTTCCTAGCATAACTAAAGACTCTTTTTTTCTCTTCTTCCTTTATCGTCCGAACGACGATGACCTTTAAAACACAGTCGATTTATTCCCGGTTACCAGAGGCTAAGTTCGAATTGTACGAGAATAGGAGGAACGTGTAAGTTACATTGGAAGCAAGTCGAACGAGAGGAGTTTTCTCTGTAGGAAGTTATGTTTCATTTCATACTTGGCTAAACTTCTGATTCTTTAATTAAATTAAAAAAGGAGAATTGTAGTGTATGCGTACCGAGACCTCGATTAACCCTTTGCACACGCAGCGCCGCGGACCGTGTCGGGGTACTAATTACTTGTACAACGTGTAACTGGATCGGTATTTAAATTTCTTAATTAAGCAATTGAGTAGTTTTCGAGGAGTTTGACTCGTCCTCGTGCATCTTTCTTTCGCGTTAAAGTATGCGCAATTACTCGCGTGGAGAAGTGAGTAGAAATTGTTAGCCTCTGTGCGATCGCGATGTGCGGGGAAATTACATTGCGGCCATATGGAGGATTTATGAATTCGAATTAATTGAAAAGGGAACGTGGCTCTATTAAGGCGCTTTCAAACAAGTGTCACGCACATTTGCCTTTCTACAAATTATAAATAATTCAACAGTTACACGAGTAAGTATGATTTTAACAATTTTTCTTTACGTCTCGGTGCAACCGACTTGAATTATGCGGTGTTAATCCTCTGAAGACGATCGAAAATATTCAAATCGCGACCAATAAACTCATATAGGTACAATTGTTGCCAAAAAATAAGTTTGGCTTTCTTAGTTATATTTTCTTTTCGTTATGAAAAGTCATTTGTTATATTTTGTAATTTTCCTAACAAATTAATCCACATTGTGACCAATTAACTATCCACCTTACGCAAATATTTGGACATTTAGCAAATATTAATATTGTACAAATTCATATTTAAAATTTCTGTTTTATTTGTATTTACTTAAGTTTCAAATGTTACAAATACATAAAATATGAATATTTTTGCCTTTACTTGTTCGTTAGTAACCGAACATTTCTCGGAACAACTGTAGCCATTTACGAGGACCTCATGGAACTCGTATATTTCATATTCAAGAAACTAATTTTGCTACAATTTAATTCAAGAGAAACGTTGAAACATCGACCTAAGTACATCTCGTCCAAACAATTAGCATTTCTCCATCTGCGAAGGATCGAAGCCGGACAAATCGATCTCTCGAAAACGCCTAACAATTCCGTCTTGAAGAAAGAATTTTCTCGATCAATTATCTTACCTCGCAGGTCGCCGTTGGCACACGGGTTCGTTCCAGATTCTGAATGACGCACGTCAGACACATCGTGGATGAGTGGAAGAGCCGGCGCGAGGAAACGATCGAAGAAAACGCGAACGGTGCATCTTCGGTTTGAAAAAGCTGAAGCTCTCGAGGGCCGTGAATCGATTCCGCGACCGAGGAAAGACGCGAGATTAAAAACACGGTCGATAGAGACTAAAAAGAAACGAAACATTATCGAGAAACGTTGGAACAGACACGCGCGGCGGCACGATCGCGAAAAGATTTCTCGGTGACGAAGCGGCAACGCGATTCTCACGTGTCCCTAAACCCGGGGCCGCCATCTTGTCCGTCCACCATGCGAAGTGAGATCTCCCCACCACGACCATCCTTTTGCCCCTCTTCCCGTGCTCGTGAAGCGAACTTTTTGATACGCCAATTGCCGTGGCCCAATGTCCCCGCGAAAAAGAATTTTCAACCTATGGATCACATCCTCGGTTCGATCCTTCCTTTCCAGACGCTTCCTCGGACGAAGACGCGTATACCGAGTGTCTCGAATCATTCGCGTCGATTCGATAGGTGAAATTGACGTGATTTTTAGAAATTTTCTAACCAAATTATTTTTCCACCATTTTTTTATTTTTCGAAAGACTGTGAACTGGCGGATTTTCTACCGATCTCTGTATGGACACTAAATTCAGATGAATTTTTATTCGAGTAGTTGGCTAAGTGGGACCAAATGGGGCCAAATAAATATAATATACAGCCTATCGGTAATGGTACAAAAATATTCTACAAATTCCTCTACTCGCTATCACGACAGAAAATATACGCTATCACAGAAGAAGGGGCATTCAAACATCTATTACAACCTAAAGCTCGTCTAAGTGATACGAAAAATGACTCACAACGATGACAGTCATATATTTATCAATCAGCCATTCTACGGAACTATGAAACCAACAGTCGTCACACATTGCTCAATGAACCCGGGATCTTTGATCTCTAGTAACAGGACTGCGAATATCCGTGCAACTGTGAAGTTGAAAAACGTTACTTAACAAACACACCACAGACAGTGGACGGTAAAAAAGAAAATTGTAAAGATCCGCGAGGAAAAGATTTTCTCACACGAAATTACGTACCTACCCATCTCTCGTGAATAAGCCGGATCAATTTGGCAGCAAACGCTCCGAGACACCCTGTATAGATAGGACACACAGAGAGCACCGGCCATGAATCTCCAATTCAGATAAAAACGATAGAGCCGGGGACGGGACGGTAGGTTTCGAGATATAACGCCGGGGATCACGGCAGCAGGCGAGAGAGCCAAGCCCTGCCGCGAGATAGCTTTCTATAACGTACGCGAGCGAGTGCGCGCGAGAAGCGGAACGTCCGTCTCTCAGTGGCGCGCGGAGGAGAGCTGCTCTCGCCCGTGAATTGCAAAACGTTGCACGATTTTAATATCGTGCACAGGATGATTCAGTTTCGCATAGTCGACCGATGAGTCATACCCGTTCCTTCTCTAACCGCGTGTTATCACGCTCCGTTCCGCGGCCGCGTTTAGCCAGATTTCGGACGTCAAGTACCATGTGGCCATCGTCTATGACCACTTCGATCGTATCGTTCTTTGTTGTGCTTGTGTCGCTCGGGTTTTTAAGTTCGTCGAGAAATTTGGGGAATTTTTCTGGGGAGTAACATGCTCGCGGGAGAATTTTGACGACTTTCGGGGCGGAATTTGAGAAATTCGAGAGTTATATGTTCGCGAGAGGATTTGGCCAACTTTTGGAGGAAATTTGAGAAATTCGAGAGTTACACGTTCGCGAGAAAATTTGGCCAACTTTTGGGCGAAATTTGAGAAATTCGAGAGAGTAACATGTTCGCGAGGAAATTTGGACGATTTTGGGGAAAATTCGAGAAACTCCGGGGCGAAATTTGAAAAATTAGGACGAAGAGGTTGGAAGAAAAAAATTGTTACGGTTGAAGAGCGAAATGTTTGGATAATGAGAGAGGTCAAAGTTGGAAGAGGAACTCTCGCTGTTCAGCTAGTCCGGTCGTTTCACCTTGGCGAACGTCGACGCGATCGATCGCAACGGCGACGAATCGAGCAGACGGTCCGTAGGCGGTGCCACGCGCGCTCTCGACGCGTGGAAAGAATTTCGAACGTCGTAGAAGCTTCATTCTACCAGCACGAATCGCGCAGAACCTACGGTTTCCTGGTCGAATTCTTGGAAAAGTCTTTGAACTTTGTATATGGGACGTAACGTATATACACACTATTGCTGAAGTTGAACTATGATATCTTTGCTACTTCTCTCATTTATTCACGCCAAGTGATAGAAATATATACACGCCACGCAATCTTCCTACCATTAACATGTGCACGATGCAAGTTTGTTACGCACTAGATCAGCTTGTTTTTCATCAATTCCACTATCTCTCAACGTGCTCGTGCCAGTGTCGTTTCGTTACAAGATATATACAAAGTTACTTGGTCATTAGTACTAGCCTAGCTGCTTGTTTCTTTACATTTTTCAAGAATGTAGAACATTTACCGAGCGAATTATGCAAATGAAATTCCTTCTACGTAAAAAACGATCTACATCGTGAAATACGAGAGACCAAAAAAGCAGCTGCCGCTGACCACCGAGTTAACATAGTTAATATAACGAGTCGAGAAATCGAACGGTGATGAAAAAAAGCGTAACACGACCTCGTAGGTATTTTCACGATAGACAGTACGTAACGCACGAGGGTCTGGCACGGACGGTGTTAGGCCCGTCACCTCGTGACATTTTTATCGGTCTGGAAAGATTTTCGGGTGTGTCAGTAGGCGCGCATGGTTAGGTGGCGACCAGTGACTCGTGCGTTCGAAAATAGAGGCGCCGCTTGGGTGGCACGCTCGAAGCCGACGCGGCGTTATCCGTCTTATCGCGAGGGCATTACGTAAGCCACCATGTCGCCCACGTCTTTCGCAGAAGGGGCTTCGTGCACGGCTGAAGCGGACGAACGCTAAAAGACCAACGGAATAAACCACTGTTGTGTATAGAAGGTGAATCGAGAAATGGAGAAATAAGACGAGAAAGAAAAAAGAAACGATAGTTTGGTTACATTAGACGACACACGATCCTGTTTCCAACCGTTCCTACTGTTTCACCAGTTCGTGATCGGTGGAATTTCGCGGCGCCTTCGGGCCGCGTTCACGTGAACGCGATTTACTGCGCAGATTCCGAGTCACGCGGTTCTTCATTCGCGTACCTACGTCGCGCGCACGATAAACTTTTCTTTCTCTCCTTGTACCCCGCTACTGCCCTCGGACATCGAACTTTCCTTATCCCCACTTTGCGCGCCTTTAACCTCCTTCCATACGTATTACTTACGTTTTCGGTCCTTTTCCTCTTTCCTATTGTCCATGGTCCGCAGCCACGAAATTCACGACGACGACGACGACGACGACGTTTTACCACGAGATTCCCGCGTGCCTCTTTGTTTCCTCCGGGTAAGATCGTCATTCGATCTCGCATTCAGTTTTATGTCTGTTTACGATAATTCTTCACCTCGACTCGTATTCCTTTTCTTCATGGCTTCGCGCATTTCCAATTATTCCATCGCGTTCCGATTCTTCCGCACGGGTTATCATAGGGTAACCCCGTTGTCGCTGTCAAGTCCGTTGTTACCGGCTGAACAAATTTCCTCGCTCCACTCTCTCTCTCTCTCCGGCACCCAATTGGCCGTTCCGTTGGTTCGTTCGTTCCTTTCTTTGTTATCGTCCTCGCGTTCGTTCCCACGGGGGATTCCTCGATACCGTTTCTCCATACTTCACGCACCATTTGTCCATCTACAGTAGATGCAACGTGGGTATATATTCCCGATTCTCTCACCAACAGAGTCCTCCGTTCGTCGTGTGGCGCGCTTCCCGTCGAGCAAACATACCGGTCGAGCCTGCACACACATTCCTCGACCGTTCTCTCTCGCTCGTGTCACCGTATCGACGATCGTCATCGTGTACAGTGGCCCCGGTCGCTGTCAATTTTCTCCGACTCTTGGACGATATGGAATCAACGAGGAAAGACGTCCCGCGGTATAACGAACAAACAACAACTATGTGAGAATCGCGACAGTGTGCGTGGTACACGAGCGTCAGGCGGGCCCGCGCGCGCTTCTGTCTCTTCGCGTGTATACGTGCGTCTGTGTGTGAGAAAACATGTACCGTCTCGCGTGCGCAGAAGCAAAGCGCGCACGCGAGAGACGCAGTTTAAGCCTAAGGAGAGAGCGGTGGTGGTGGTGGTGGCGGTGGCTCTCTCGTACTACACACTGGGTGGCCCGGGTTAGCGTACGGCGCAGTTAAAATGGCCGCGATGTGTGTGTCGTTTTCTCTCTCTCTCTCTCTTCGTTTCTCGTGCTTGCTCTCCTCTCGTCTTTTTTCCTTTCCCGATAGCTGGTCGTTGCTGCTGGCACACACGCGGCGTGCCGCGCCGCGGCATCCCGGCGTATACACGACGTGTGTCCATCCGGCGGCGTGTGAAATTGGGAACGTGGCGTACCGGCACACAAGACTTCGTGTTGTCGGTGTTAATCCACATCGTGGCAGTCGTCCCCGTCATCGTCGACGTTGTCGACGATCAACAGACATTGCGAAACCGGACAAAGAGGCGATTCGCGAATAATGACACTTGGAGGAGCAGACTCGCTCGAAGATCCGCGTGGGACTGTGCGCGCTAACGCGAGTCGGACGCCGTGCACGTCGACACAACACACCAAGAGAGCGAGAGATGCGACGCAAGAACGCGCAGCGCCGCGCTCGGCAGTCGCCGCAACTGCGAGGGTAAATAGCGCCCTGTTAAGGAGGGGACGCGACTGGAGGGCGAGGTGGGGGTATTGGGGGAGCACGGAGTCTCGCGTACCGAGCACTGT